CCAAAATGGTGGGAAAAAATTTTCCTCAAAAACTCGGAAAATGCACACGTGTGGGCGAAATTCGGAAAATATTTTCCGTGAAAAACTTTGCCTATTAAACAATCAAAAAGGTGGAAAGTAAAAAATATTTTCCTAATTCCCTGAAAAATAACGCCTATCAAACGGGCCTAAATCTCTTAGTCAAACTTTGCTATTGTTATATATATAGACTTTTCTCTTTTGATCTCTCTTTAAAATCTCACATAAACTAAAAAATAACTAATAAATTAAATAAAGTTTTTATATTTTTTTATTATATATTCATTTTAGAAAGTATTTTATTTAATTTAATTGAAAAAATAATTCAATAACTAATAAAAATAAAGATAATTGTATTTATTTTTAATCTTAGCACATAGTTTTATTTAATTGACCGGAGTCTCCCATATTTGAAGCAATACCAACGGTTCAAAAAAGTTGGATATTCTTCAGGTCAACAACATTATCATTGTAGCCTTGTGAAAGGTCACCATAAAGTAGCAAAACTTGACACTTACATCAACTTATGTATTTCTAATTATTTTTGTGGGTGTTGCCTAAAGTCAACTTTGCGGTCTAGTTAAAATTGTCATATTTTCTTTCCAATGAATTATCATGGTATATGTTTACCTCTAGATTAGGATTGACTCATCAAAAGATCTGATTTATTTCTCATTCAAGTGTATGTTGCCAACACATTTAGAAGTACGAGCTAGATATGCAGATTGAGGCTTCTCCAAACAAAGGTGGGAATGCCGCACTCTGACACTCAAATCAATATACAGACAGAAAAGTATTAGGTGAAAAAAAACGAAAAGAGTAAAAATTATATATAATCAATTACCTTCAAATGTGAACAGATGGGAGTACTTGTAGTTAAATGAATAAAACTAAAGTCTCTCAAGACTCAAATGCTTGAACCCTGGTCACATTTCAATGATTCACAAGTCGAGCATCAATACATCACATCGTATCCATATTCTCTATGAAGATGTGTCACCTCGAGAAAGTTCTTGACAAGGTATTGGGCGAAAGTGATATTTGATGAAGCGATTGAATGTTACCTCATCGACTTGAAGGCTATTTTCAATGAGGTGTTGGGCGAGACCCCTTTTGCGGCACTAGGCCTGTCGATGGATAAAGGCATAACAAAAAGGCATAACAATAGTTCCCAAGTCCAATGTCTCATTATTCAAGTAAGACATTGTACTTTGACAATTATAAAGTTTCATTGAGATGATTTTTGAAGATGTGATTTTACGTAATAAAGAGAAGTGTTATCTACTGATGTTGGAGCTAAAGTGACATTATAGTCCCCAAATCCAAGTATTAACATTTACATAATAGATTGGACTTTGATTTAAAAAACGAAGTATCACAATTGAGGCAAAATCAATGGTCCCATTCATAGAACGAAGTTGTGTTGTAGAAGCGAAGTCCCATTCCAGGATGTAGCTTTGACGAAGAAGCGAAGTCCCATTTTAGGACGAATCCTTTACATATGATGTTCAACAATATAGTAATCGCATTTCTGGGGTGAGTTGGTTTGAGGCATGGAGGTCCATGTGAAATTTATGTCCGAGACCAAGCTAAGAGGCACATGATACGAAGTGACGAGAAGCGTGCAGGTAATCATGACGTTTTGTGTTCCTAAAGTTGATACGATGGTTGCAAGTAATCGTGATGATTGGACAATTGAGGCATTTGATTTCCAAGGCGACATGCCCCCCCACGCGTATGAGAGCACGATTCAATCTGGGCCTCAGTTTGAACCTCCGTTTGGTGCCTTTTAGCGTTGGATTGCTAAATTAGACGTGGCAATAAATGGCCACGATCAATCTTGAATTGTTCTAATGGCTGGGATTGAGGTCATCTCGCCTACATGAAGGCTTTAAAGGGTCAAATCAAACCCTTTTTACTTTGCTTCCTTAACATTGTACAAACTCTAGACAATTTCAGCAAGAAAAATGCAATTTCTGGCAAAGAAAGAAGCCCTGGCCTAGCAAAATCCCAAAACTTGGCGACCAAACTTAGAGCTTTAATTATTAGATCTTAAAATTTCATTCTTAAATCCCGTTTCCTTCTACTCCTTTTCCTTTTTCTTCTCGAAAATCATTTCCAACAACAGCAGCATCAATTTCCAAACCGACAAGAAATTTGTGTCTGAAAAATCCTTAAGTTTGGAGGTGCTGGAGGGAATGCAAGGTAGAAAAGTATGCAAATCTGTCTGGAGTGATGCCTTTCCAAGTCGTGAATGTTGATGAAAAGCTAGAGTTAGCTATAGTGTCGGTTAACAAAGCAAACCCAAGAGGGGCTGGCACAATTGGTTAGTCCCACACGATGGAAGCTACAAGTCCCATTATCAAATGAGAGTATTCATAGGGAATAAGGAACTCGGGTCTATTGGATGCTTGGCAAGTTTGCCTCATCCCAATAGGGCACAAGTCAAGCATCAAGAAATCACACCTATTCATCATAGGAAGGCAAGGAGGAGTGGTACAATTAGGCCTTCCCTTCGGTATGCGATATCAGTACGTAAAGTTCATTTCTCTCGTAGCCCATTGAAATTTCTGGTTTGAGGAACTTCACCGCTATAACGAGTATCGATAAGTTGTCGCAAGCAATCAATCAAAGTAACTCCCGTCTTTATTATATATAATCTGTTGCCTTTGCAGGGATGTTAGATCAATCAAATCGAATGTGTCTCAATTGGTCAAGTTACAGCTCGAAATAAGGTATCACAGATTTTTTCCAACCACTTCAGACTCTAAAGAAGCATCTAATGTGGATAAGGATTGGATCCCCACCGAGCATCTCAAAGAGGGAAAGTAGCAAGTATGCACTAAGTTATGTCTTCTCAAGGGCAATTGTCGGCGTTACGATGCTCACAAAGCCTCAAAAGTGATAATTGATGAGGCGATGGAATGTGACCTCATCGCTTCAAAAGCAATTATCGACAAGGCGTTGGGTGATACTTTCAATGTCTTGTGTGACATTTTGTTTAGCTGATAGTTATTTGTCCTACAACGTGAATAGAGACGCAACAATAAATTTATTCCAATAGAATCATAATCATAAGATGAGAAGTATTAAAATTATTTCATAAGCATTTCTTTTGTCCCCTCTGTGACGCCAAAACATGCCAACGGGAAAGGTGTACTGCAATTGTAGCCAGGTGTATGTTAGTCCTTGGGCATTTCAGAATTTCAGAATTCTGCTGAGGTACGTTTCGTGCTACGTGTCAACATCATGGGCACGTAGTGCCAATTTTCAGATTTTGTGAACGTTTTTGCCCTTCTTTTATACTTTTTTTTTTTAATACATTTATCTCTCTTCTTTTGAACCACACATTTTTTGATAAAATAATATTACACGTGAATTCAAAAAATTCTCTTACTTTTTTATCTCATATTTTCCATCAATTCATTATTCCAAAATGCATTATTACACTGAAATGGAACTCAAACGTGTTCTTCGAACCAAATTTAATGACAAAAGTTGACTAAGCCCATGTTTGCTCCCCATTAAATTAAATTTTTGGGGGGTAAATAATTTTTAGAATAGTGATTGATGGGAGATGTGTGGTTGAAAAGTTTTTGATTTGTGTGTATTATTATTTTATTTGATGAATGTATGGTTGAGATGAAGAGATAGAAAAAATTAATGTAATGGAATGTACTATAGTGGGGGCCAAACAGGGGCTAAGCCACTGTTTGGTATCCATTTTTTTTTCATTCTCATTCTTCTACTAATTTTCAACCACACATTAATCAATAAAATAATATTTTTCATCACATCAATAACTTTTCCTTCATTTTCAACCACAAAAAAGATATGATTTGACACAAAGAATGCATTTTTTTCTAGAATAATGGTTACCAAACGGTGCCTAAATATATAAAATTTAATGGTCCCAAAGAAGGTTTAGGCAGATTGCCTAATTATAACAACAATAATTGTGGCGCCAAAGTGTAATTTAGAGGTACTTGTCGCCTTACTGCGAGCTTGTTTGGAATCACAATCATTTTCCGACCACAGACCCATAACTTTACCCTATACTCTAAAAAACTCATTTTTCAATTGAAAAAAATCTTTCGAACAAGCAAGCCTTTTTAGCTTTTCCTGGACTTCCCTACCGAAGCTCACCCATTTTAGTAGCAACTGCCCTATCACCGGTAGGTCTTGTTCAAAAGCCACTTTAGTTGATGTGTCCCAATCAATTGATGTGCAAGTTGCTGAAGTTTATTTTCAGTGTATGTATCATAGAGTGCGTGATAAATTTGGTGGGCAGGAAGGATGCCCGTCCACCTATTGTGTTGACGGGCACGAAAGGCAGGGCCAATTGTGGTGCCTTTAGTGCGAATTTTTCGTTATGACATCATAGGCCTTTATCTACATGTCTCGAAATCCATCAAAAATAGAATATAACTAACATAGAATAGAGAACACTAGCTAGTTGAAATAAGAATGTTTCAAAAGTATGCAATACCACTATAAAGAAAGCTGGAAAGAAATAGAAAATAGTTCCTCCATGAACAAATTGAAAGAATGGAAATAAGCTTTGTTTAACTTTAAAGGCCAGAAACAGACCACGAGTGAGCACAAACTGCAAATCTACCAAGTCTACAGAGGGGTGCCAAACAATAGGATAACAAAATTACTTCTTTCATGTGCAATAGTGGCTTTTTCCAAGAAACGTAGTTCATTTGTCTTCCAACAACAATTTAACAGAGTTAAATACATATAACATAAGGGGAGAAATAGGTTGCTAAGTTGCTAGCTTGTCATGTTGTAGTCATCTGGTTGCATATATGGATTATAGTTTCCTGGAACTTCCATCTTTCCAATCAAGTTATCCATCCCTGCATTTGCCAAATTCCCATGCAATTGAAACGTGTCACAGGCTGTAAAGAATAGCGAACGAATACAGATGTAGTGCTAGCTTACATTCGAAAGAGCTCAACAATATTTTACAATAAAAGCTTTGGATGTCTGGGTAAAAAACTCGAGAAGCATCTCCAACTTCACCTGTTGGGTTGTTTCTAGCTTTTAACTTCTGAAAGAGTCTTATACCTCAGGTTAGTTTTGCTATTCTTAAGTTACCAATAGAACAGATAAACTCTATAAAAGAGAAAAGTAGCAAGTGGTCCATTTTGAGGATGATGCCGATTGAAGAAATGAAAGGAAGAACAATGTAACTAGTTGGAATATATTTAGTGGAGACCTAAGAGGCTCCTACCCATAAGAGTGATTTGTCACGAGTAATACTATTTAACACCATTGGTGTTGAGCACCAATTTAGATGGAAATTGCATAACATTAAATTATAGATTTACTTAAATGCAATGTCACATGACTCATTTAATTGAACCTAACAAGTATGGCCACTTAGACCGGTGCTAGATAGCATTATTCATTGTCAGGATAGTCAGGGGTAGGCCAAACTAACATATATTGCCTTTGATTCTTCCATTAAATAAAGAAACGACCTCAACAGAATGGCAAAAATAATTAAGGTAATACACCCCAAGTTTATTGAGACTAAGACTTAACTTCTTGTTACGATATTGTATTTTAAAGCGAAGATGATAAAAGAAAATTGTAAAGGAGTAAGAAATGCGTACTCTGATTTGCTAACATAGAGCCATAGAAAGACATTTGCCCGAAATTCCCACTGTGATTTGAGCTGCCTTCAGGAGGCAACAAGGGTTCAGGCTTACTTCCCCGTGGATCCATAGAATGCATAGCAGAACTAGCCTCAGGGTTTTGAAAGCAGAGATCATCGGCCGCCCTTGAACTTGCAATATGCGGAGGTTGAAAATCCTCAGGCTTTGTTTTCTTTTCATTTGGTGACTCAACCTCTGTCTCCACTTCTGATTCGGCATTGTTTGTTTGTGTAGCCTGTTGTTTCCTTTTGGATCGAGCACGTCTATTCTGAAACCAATTATAAACATTTGTTTCAGAAATTTGGCCGTGTTGGCACAATTCTGCTGTTATCTCTTTGATCTTCTGCTTGCTTGGAGCTCCATTTCCTTGATCAAATATTCGTTCAAGAATCTGAAGTTGCACAGGCGTTGGAGTCCATCTCTGTCTGCCGGTAATTTTATGCCCTCCAGATGTCACTAAAGGATCACAATATAGATTTACCAATCTCGCTCCTGACCAAGTAACATAAATTTTCAGAAACAGAAAACTGAATATTCAATGAACTGAAATATGCATCTTCATTGAGTAGAAAGCATAAACTAACTGGAGAAGACGATGATTAGAGGACAACAAGAAATGCACAAATTAATCAATTTCATCTTGATCCGCAATTGGCGCTCAAGATTTTCACGAGTCCATGCCAGTAACTTAATTAATTGATTCAATCGTGCAAAAGGCATAATTCCCAGAAGACAGTGTAGAACAGACTCTTCAGTTTTGAAATCAAGCAATCGAGTAAAGGGGGAAAAACAAAATTAAAATATGGGAATCGAGTAATTTTAGTTTATCACAAGAAATAAAGAGCTCTGAATATTAAATTACTAGAATATTCTCCACTAATAATTTCTTCAATAAACATGAAATTTCAGTTCAATACCTGCAAGATCGTGTTGAGAAGTGAGGGATTTGTGCAATTCGACGAGTTGTTCGCAAATGGTGGCATATACTGCAATCTGCTTTCGTAGAACTTCCATTTGCTCGTCGGTCATCACTTTAACAAACATCCCCCCACCGTTTACATTCAAATTTCCACCACCGTTTCCGTTCATTTCCTCCGGCTGCACCGCCTGTTGTGGCGGCTGCTTATTCCACTCCATCATTTACAATCCTCTTCTCTCGTGAGTTTCCAAAACACTCAAAATAGTCAAGACAAGAGATTTGGTAAAGATAACAACAGGAAAAGGTGACGAGAAAGTAAAGCAAAGAAGGGATAAACCAAAAGTAATCTCATTAAAATTGGAAAAACAAAAAAAGTAGAACCTTAATTTTGTGGGCCATACTATGCTCATGTGGGCCATAGAATTTTTATTGTCCGTAATTAACGCTCGCTTATATTCTCACCTTTGATTACTTTTTTTAAAGTTTTTGTTTGTATCCCAAAAACAAATAAGAAAAAGTACTCACAAGTTAAGGTCGCGCCTCAGTTAATTGACATTGAGCAAATGGACGCAATTTTTGAGTGTGTCGCGTCTCTATTCTTGACTTTCATTAGATTTCGACTTCTTCCATGAAGAATATAATTTTACGTCTCTCCCAATGTGATCATACCAGCTGATGACATGCCATTAAGACGAAAGAGGAGATGCCTCTCACTAGACATCTTTCATTGCTTCGATACACCAACTTTGCTAACACGTTATTTGTTATTTAAATCAAAATCAACAATTAATTTTAACCATATTTTATGGAACCCACAATTTTCAATCACACATTTCATCAATTTTTATCAAAATCAACTAAAAATTTGATTTTAATCTTCACCAAACAGGGGCTAAGCTTGTGACTTTGAGGAGTCTGCGTGAGAAGATAAGATTTGCTGAGTGTCAAATTTTGACATGTACTTTCATCAAACAGAAATTAAGCCCTTGTTTGGTGATCATTTAAAAAAAGGGTTATGCTATATGTACATAATTTTTTACCTAATCTTTTACACCTCACTCACAACTCACATTAGGAGGTGGGGATCACGTGCCACCATTTTTAAAAACACATGGGGCCCGCGCCCCATGTGAGGGGGACACCATTCGGTCATCCCCCTTGGGTACAAGGGGATAAACCCTTAAAATATATATTGTTTTGAATAGTGAATTTTTGGAGAATGTGTAGTTAAAAAGTTGGAAAAAGTTTTGGATTTAAGTTTAGAATATTTTATTATGTAAATGTGTGGTTAAAAATAAATATAAAAAAAATTGAAAGGATGGAAGACAAACAGAGCTTAGGTAAAAAAGATTTGCTTAAAGAACCCTTAAATTCTTAAAGTCAAAGTAAGAGATACTTGTTGACGTAAAGATTCGATAATGGTTGTATGAACTTCAAAGAGTGTCGAATACTGTATTTCGAAAATGGTAAAGTGTACTTACAAAAGCGGCTTGCAAGCACTATGCTATCCAAATTAGTAAAGGCTCAATAAAACTCAATTGAGTTCTTTTTCGTTATCTATATATAGTTGATAAACGCTGTGACGTTTAAAATCGTGGAACCTCCATGATCCGTTCCTTTGTGAACTATTTTATTTGAATTGTTTAATAGAACAAGGTAATTTTGACACATAATTTAATTTTTTTTATATATATAAAGTAAATTAATTAAATTAAATATTGAATAAATTAAAGCTGCATTAGAAATTTGGAATGGAGGATTGTGATCAATATTCCTAGGGAGGAATAATTATGGAGGCAAACAAAAAGACAAATGGAAGTGGATGTGTTGTTTTGTTTTGTTTTGTTGTTTTCTCCGCAATTAAAATGGTCTGTGCCAATCCATCAACTAACCCCCGTCAATTCCGCCACCAAATTAGGCACCTCACCTGCCTTCATAAATGAATTATGAATCCTAAATCTATTCCAATTTGGTCCAATCTTCAATGCTTATTTCAATTTGGTCCATAAACTTAAAAAAGTATCATTTAAGCCTCTAATTTTTCGTTTTGGTCCTCGATGGACAATTTTAACATTATCTTAATTAGCTAGCCAAAATTTTCTTGAAAACACTATTTTTCCACATCCTTATATGAATATAAAATGAATAATTAACAAGAAATAAAAAAGTAAACGATTTCTTCTTTCGATGATAGTTTGTCGAGATTTGACCAATAGCACAACTCCTAATTGAACTTTGTAAAAATTAACTACATAATTGAATTGAAAATCGATAAACGAGGGACTATTTGGTTGTCTATATTTTTACTCTGCGTAGGAGCTAAAGTGAGAAAATCGCCATTTTTGGATAGATCGTGGGCTTCATATGCAATAAAATGGGTTATAGCATTCACTTCTGGTATACCTCTGACCAAGTGCCCAAAATGCTGAAACTGCCCTTAGAGCGTGTTTGAACCCCATTTTCTGAAGAAAATACATTTTAGAATAGTATTTTGATAAAGAATGTGCGGTTAAAATATAAGAAAAAGTTTTGAATTTACGTGTAATATTATTTTATTGAAAAATGTGTGATTAAAAATAAGAGAGAGAAAAATGTATTTTAAGAATAATTGGTAACAAAGAAAGGCTTAATGTTGTGGTGAGAATGGGTGGTGGTGGGAAAATACTGTCGAGGGCATTTAGGTCTTTTAAACCTCCTAATCCATTCTAAGAACACAGAAAATGAAGAATGGACGTTGCATGTGGTAGAAATTGAATCAAGGCTGGGCCATTTTTATAAATATTTTAATTAGATTTTGAATTTCTAACTATCAAAAATTGCTAAAAAGCTAGAGGTTTTAGTTACATCAAACATGGGCAGCGAAATAATCCTCGCTCAACTCTATTGGTGGGAAACCCTGTATTTGATAAAAATTAAAATTTAGATTTTAATCGAAATCAAAGTCAACAATTAATTTAAATCATATATTTTATAAGACATACACATGTTCAACCACATATTTTATTAACTTCTATTAAGATCTACTAAAAATCTGATTTTAATCCCTATCAAACAGGGATAAAAAGGAAGTTGGGTAAGAACTTACAAATTGAAGTGTTAAGTTTTGAATTATTCTACGTGTACATCAGGGTGTACATGATGTTCAAGTGGCATTTGCGTAAACACCGATGTACATATAGCAAAACCCTTTAGTTTTATATGAACGACATCTAATTCAGTCTAATGATAAGAAAAATCTTGAAAGCATTGCTGAAAAAGTTGAATCCTTATTTAAATACAGATTCTTCCTGATATTTTTCTGTTATAGAAAACAAAGGAAGTCTGGTTAGAGATCGTTATGCAGAACATAAAGGCATAATGAGATCGATACTTCATAATATTTAAGGCCTGTCATTAACATTAAAACCTACTCATCTTCTTCAGGAAAACGAAAAAGTTTCCCACACCGTGACACTATGTGCCATATCATGATTGTCATATTTCACATACAAATCGACAACGAATGAAGCTATAAGATGAATAAACATAAATTAACTAATGTACAGATCTCCATGTCAACTGAATCCTGTGCAAGCAATTCAGGAAAAGCACACAACATCCACACACAATCTTCTTTGTAAATCTCTTCTGTGCTAAATACACCAATACCTTGTCTATCCTAATCCCATTAGAACATTCTTGCTCTATCAATCCCGTTCGTGCTCTAAAAGCTTCTTCAACGTGTCACAAACAATCCAATTATCTGAACACGAGAATGTTCTCAAGGCATCCATGAAAAAGATCCTAAGAGTTATGACTTCATATTCTTCACCATTTCATCAATCAGAACTCCTATGATGTGACATTCAATATCTTTACCAAGAGCATTAATGTCATCCTCCATCAATCCACGCCATGGGTTGGACATCAAATCCCGGGCCAACATACTATCAAGAGCATAAAAGGATTTATCTGCTGGAGGATATAAATAAACTTGAATAATTTCCCAAACTCTATTTAGTAGATTCCTTCCATGAGGGGTTTGTGGCACAGAACTAATAGCCTTATTCATATACCTATACGTGTTCGTTGGTGGTCTTAGTACGGTTGGAAGCTCTTCATTTAATAAGTCAAGTAACATCTTGTGATTCAATTTTTCACCATCATCTTCTGTGCACCCTTCACCATCCTCGCTCTTTTGTATATAAGATTCTTCTACTTCTTCAAAGACCTGGTTGCTAATAGGCTTACCATGCGGGTCCCATTTTGATAAAGATCTCTTGAATGAACCATCATACAAGCCAGCAGCAATAAGTAAATCCCTCACATAGGCTTCAGCATGGTTCTCTATCTCCATTTCAACTTCAATGGGCTGCTCATAAGTTGTTGTCTCTTCTGGAACATTGCCTTCAAGTTGATTTAGTTGCCTCCGCAGCTCTGCATCATGAACAAAAGAATTATATCAACTTTCTAAAGATCTATGAGAGACGTTATAGAATTTAGAAAAAAATATGGGAACTACAATACAGTTTCAAATGTAGAGGTGTGTCATCAGATAATATCTCCCATGCTATGTTAAATATGCTCATCGTGATACTTAGTATGAAAGAAAGATGCAGTTCAGCAATGGAAAGATTATTTGACCAATAATGTTGCAGAAACGCAAATGAAGACTTTATGTACATTGTATTAGAATCCAAAAGAAAGTAGAAATTTTTCCAGTAATCCTATAGAGGGCAATCAACTACTGAATTACAGGTTTCAAATAGCAACACCAGAAATAAAACCTGTTTCAAGGCACTGACAACAATATCACTTCCAATGGTAGAAAGATAAGATATGATTGTATGTCTTTTTCAAGCCCTTATTTCTTAGAGAGAAAAGAAACTTGTCTTTCTCACTTGAGATGCCAAAACTCTGTAGACACTGGTTTGATTGAAGTATACCACTACCCAGATATTTCACAGAGAATTATACAAAGGATTATAGTTTTCTAGGTATATCTATCTTTTTTATTGGTCTTTTAACTTCTAAGTTCTGACAAAAATAATGAGATAACAACAAGATTTTGAACTTTCAACTCATTCATCACGGTAACAGTGAGACATCATCGAGCTAGACCGATATTTGGGGCAACCAAAACAGGAACGGAATCCTAATTGATGAGAGGAAAGAAGTACCTTTGCTTTCTATCCCATTTATATGTATAAATTTATCAAAAAATATAAAACGCCAAAATCAGTAACATATAAAAAATTGAGTTGGCTTGCCTGGCTCTTCACATGTTCTAGTCAATAGGAAGAAACGAAGTCAACAATTTTTTTCTCAAAAAACTTCCAAGTCCAAGGATCCAAATCCTCGCCAGATAAGTACATAGAAAGTGCACATCCAAGAAATTAACGGTCCAAGGAGTGACATATAGCAACAAATACATTATTTGTTATGTTCAGAAAGTGATGGAATCATTAATTCACTTACCACTCAAGTTCGAGTTTATTTCTCTGAAAACATGAGGAATCTCACTGTCATCTAGTTGATGTGCATCTGATGCCGATGTTGGGCTGAAATACTCTCCTTGCCTCCAGGATTCATCATGAACGCTGCTGCACACAGATGCAGGGCTTGGTGGCACTTCAGTGGAATTTTCCTAGAACATGGATTTTAAGAGAACCATAAGTTAGCTCTATTAGTAACTCGTGGCATCTGATAATCTTTTTCTTTCATGAAGAGAAAACATTAAGAAAAGATTCACAGTAAGATCCTCACATATCTGTCATACAAACTCATCGTCACTGTTGGCTGACTTCTAATATCTTTCATGCAGTCATGTTTAGATTGACGTAATTCCTCTACTGACTGAACCCTCCTCCGAAATAGCTTCCCCCTAAGTGTTAAGCCATATCTAAAGCCTGAAACCTTTTCCTTAATGTTGAACTTTTCCTTCTTCCGTTTCTTCATGTTCATTGAAACATTTTCAATGACTTCGTGCTTCCTTCTGATTTGAGCCCCTGTCAGTATATGTCGATCCTTCAGAAGGAGCTTTCCGAATGATGTTCCTGATACTGGGGCTGACAAAGATCTGACAAGGTTCCTAGGAGACAGTTCCTTATGGAGCATTACATCATCAGGCTCCTGTCTAAAAGACCTACTTCGCTTTTCTGGTTCGTTCTTAACATCAGGATGATAGCTCATTCTATTTCCACTCCAGATATCTCTCGAATGTTCAGCTCTGCCCTTTTCATAATCTGATGTTGATGATCTTGACCTATTATGGGAAACCATTGGTACTTCCCCATGTGTTTCCCCCTTCAGAACATTTCTCAGCCTCTCTGCCAAGAATCTCCTAGTATCTCCATTTATGAACTCAGGAGAACCAGTTCCATTTAACTGAGTTTCACTTCTACAAGATCTTGTAGATTCTGAACGAAGTAAATTCATCCCAATGTCCCTTTTGACACTTTCTCTGACTTGTTGTGCTATACGTTGAGCTATTTGTTTGGGTTCTGATGGCTTTTCCCGATAAGGGGTCTCAATGCCTCCTCCCCTAACTGTTGTGCTCCTTTTTGGGCTTTTACCTTGAAGCTCAGACTTTAACCTTTGCTTCACCTCCTCAAGCAAATCTTCTATACTTCCTCTCTCTCCTGATGTACTGGGAGAACTGTTCCATGAATCTTCACCACTGCACATCCTCTCCGGACCTAAACCAGGCCTCAAAATCACAATTTTTGTGGGGACAGAAGCAATATCAAGTTTCTGATCAGAATTCACCAAAGGAGATGCCTTAAAATCTGTTTTTAATATTCTTCTTGAATATGGAGACCCCTTGTGTTCAGCTGCAAAATATTCACTCTCATTTTTCCAGCCTTTTAAAGTACCTTTATCATGCAAATTTGGTATTACTGTAAGATCCTCAGGTTCCATCAGTCTCCCACTAGCCATGGCTCTCTCTGAGTTTGCATAAAGAACCAGTTTTTCTCTGTTGAGGTTCTCTTGTGCAATCAACTGGCTAGGAGAACTGCCAAATTCTACAATCTTTGAACATTCCTTAAACCGTGCAGCTTGCCATGCTTCAAATTCTTTCTTGAACTTCTGTAGTTCCTCCTCTTGAGGATGTTCTCGGGGTTTAGGCCTGTTCAACCTCATGCATCTGAGTTGATCAGGATCTCTGTTTATACTATCATCGAAGTAACCGAAGTCTATTTCTAGAGAGGAATTTGAGGTTAAGGGGACACGACCACCTGAATTTGTTCCTGACCATTGCTTTTTCAAGAAGTTGCTTTCTGGAGTTTCATTTTTTATTTCAGAAACCATTGATGCTGGTTTTGAATCAAATGGTAGCATATCAACGCCCATTAGACGAGCCACTATGCTTGGTGCATTTTGTCTGGTGTTTGATCTTTTAGAAATCTCTTCACTGATCAACTTCTTCATTGGAGCCTCACTCGAATAGCAGTTCTTCTCAGACTCCTTTTTCCTGTGATAAGCATACTGAATAAATGTAGCAACTTGTGAGTGATCGGAGAACATACAAAAATGAGAAGCTTCTAAACACTTCTAAAATTATACTAAATTCATAGGAGCTGGAACTAGAATATGTTAGACAAAGAAACGATTCCCACTAACAAGGCAAGATGAAAAGTCTAATTTATCAAAATGCATGAGGGAAGCATGACCATGAAAGTACACCAACAAAATCAATAAGCAAACCAAAAGACCACCTTTTTATTATTTTCAAGTCTGAAAATTTTATAAGATATGCAGTTTACAAGAAATTTCAGAACCTATAAGCTCCTAGTATGGAAGGTGAAGAAACCTACTACTAAGAATGATAAGCTCAATACAGTCAGAGCTCAACCAAAAGAAGGCATTACGTTGTTACCGGAATACTCTCTCTCCCAGCACACAAGCTGTAGGAAGTCTCCAAAGGTATCTCCAAACTGTTTCGAGGAGCCTCCAGGCCTGAAGAGTTGTTAAACAGAGAGCATTGCTTATGGTCAGTAAGAAGAGAGAGTGATAAATAGAACTAGAGACCCCCCCTTTTCTTATTCAACAAACATGGTGTTATGATAAGTTATCATACTACTATCCATTAATATGATGAGAATGTGTCTCATTTGACAACTAAGTAGGGATGACAGTCATGAATAAACATTCAAATAACTGCGGTCCACTGAGCTCGAGTATACCAGAAAACAACTCTAAATGACAAAGGTGCACTAACTGATAAAACTTTATTTGGACAATTACTGTCTGAGGAAAAGAAAAAAAACTTGCATCATTCTGCATCTTGATCTCAAGCTCTTAGCTCGTAAGCAAAGTATAAATCATTGTTCAAAAAACAAAAAAAACTAACAATTGACTTCGCAATTCTTGCATTAGAAGTGTTGCAGCGTGGAGTAATATATCTTAGTAGTTCCTAGGGTAGCTTCCCCGTACTGCTTAACACAGGTAACACTTACCACCATCAAGCCTCTTTTGCATAACCACTTTCCTAGCCATTCTGTCCTCGTTAGCATCAAGAAGGTGTAACAAGCTTCCCATGCACCAAGAGTATGTATAGCACTCAATAAAACATCTCTGTACTATACACCGGGAAACTGAATGCCACCGTCTCTCTGTCCAAAGAATGAGATTCCAAGTCAGTCAACAGCCTGCAGAGTCTGTAATTCAAGTGATTGGAGATTAACTCATTGCACAATTTTTCAACATTGAAATAGAGAAGAAACTCGCAATACTTAACACATCATCTTCTAAAAATCATTCTATTTTCTACAGAGGTTAATCTATTGACCCAAATCGAGCTACTTGTACCATTGGCATTCTTTCAGATTGTCCGTGATAGCGCAATCAATCATACAGATCATTATTCTTTATACATTCGAAAAATCAAAATTTTTGTACATTCCAATTATGGTAATCTAAAGCTATTTCAACGTTTTCCTTGACTAAACAAAGTAACTTTCAGAAATCTGTAAATGAAGAGAGATTGATCTGGCAAAACTAATAATAGATTCGGAAAAGCCAACCCAAAAAAAAACAAAAAAGAAAGTGATAGATGAAGAATCAAAAATAAAAAGACGCAACTATAAATATTTGGTATCATCAATTTGATTTTGACTTGAGGTAACAAATATTCATTTCTTCTGCAAATCGTAAACGTGCACGTGAAATTCAAGCACTTGAAGTTCACCAATAATCTCAAAACTACACAATTAAATAAAGCATTAATTCAGTATATTTCCTTGTGTACAATTAATGAAATGAAACCAATCAAACCATAAAGCCCAAGTTTAGACAAGAAGCAAACTGAACCGGTTTAATACATGCCAAATCTAGAAGAGTTTACAACACAACATATTAATTCTGATCCATACACATGATATACCTTGACACAGTTTTGCACTTACCAGGATTAGTCTGAAAGGTTCACGAGGAATTTCCAAAAAGTCAAACCACAACAAGTCAAGATTCGAGACAATAATGCAAGAAAATTGCATACGAAAACTGAGATTTGTATGGCGGAGTCGAATGAAGAAGAAAAAGAAGAAGCGTAGGAGGGAATGAGATAAAAATAATAATAATAATAAGATGAATGGTGAAGGAAGAAAAGTAATGCTTTTAGCATGACAATCCATTGCTGGAATCACCCAACCCAGCCACTCTCTTTCTCTCTCTACTTATTTTCCCTTTTCCGTTATATTACTTTTTCTTTCTCGGTAACTCGGGTAACATTCCAAACCGCCATACATTAAGCGTCATTTTTTTTTTTTTTTATGAAGTTAAAAGGAGCTTTTAAAATGTAAAAATCCTTTTTGGTGCCCTATTGTTATTTTATGAAAACAATATGA